TCTAAGGCGTGCGAGTAACAAAAAAATGTTCAATACAAAAATTGTAGGATTGCGAGGGGGACATCCGATCTATTCATTATTTTGAGCTTTCAAGCTCATGCTTGCAAGCTGCAACCATAAAGTGCTTTTTTCAAATGGCAACCGCATTTTTCATCCCAATTAAACTTGTTCATCTTGATGAGTTGTTTTCAGATACCTCGTCATTGATATAATTTCCCCTAATTTTGCTCGAAGACTGCCCCAAATAAGAGTTGTGTGGTCAAATTGAAGATTCAAACATCCTTGGCGCACCTTGGTGTAATTGTTCCATGGATCTGTTTAACAACCGGAGTTATCAAATGTAAACAATAAACAAAAAATTTTCCTACTCCTTCGAGGATTCTTTTATTGTCATCAGTGCCAATTCAACCAGAATCGAGTTAGTATCATTTCATTGAACACATCAAGATGTATTCGGCCAGTGAAATTGACGATATTTTACTAGTTCGCGTCATTTTACATATTCGCGCTATTTTTTTTTTAGCGCAGGGGATGCGATGCAAACTTTACCTCCACGTGGTGCATCCTGGGTCACGCTAAAAAAGTTTGAAATTTTAATTTGACCACAGAACTCTTTTTTGCGGCATTTTTCAAGTAAAATTAAAGGAAATTACATGAACGACGAGGTATTTGAAAACAACTCATCAAGATAAACAAGTTTTATTGGGGTGGAAAATGCGGTTGCCATTTGAAAAAAGCACTTTGTGCTTACAGCTTGCAAGCATGAGCTTAAAAGCTCGAAATAATGAATACATCAAATGTCCCTACAATTTTCATTTCGAACATTTTTTTGTTACTCGCCCGCCTTAGGAGATATTTGGGTGAATTTTTTCAAATGGGATGCCCTGTATATAAGTTGATGCTTTCGTCGACTCTTCTTCGGAATAACTTCTCCACTAGCCGCTGCTGAATATCTTTAAGATAATAATTGTCCATCTTCTGCAGGGATGAAGCCATGATTTTTTTGTATGGCTGGAATGGCCTTCGCAGTGTTGAATCTTTGTTTTAAGCTGTCCTGGATAACTTTGTGTTCTTCTTTACTATAAAAAAAATACATCAAGATCTTTGAAGTGATCTTTCGCCCAGCGAAACAGACCACTAGGTATGAGAATAGGTTCCCCTTGAGTTATCTGCAGACTCCTTCGCCTCGCTCCCTTCTTCAAAACTACGCCTACTCCATCACATGCCGTTTTACCATGTGCAGTCACATCATAATGAGCTTCCGCTGCAATTCCAAAATCATCTTTGTGGAACAAAAAATTTGCGATTTGCTACCGATTCTTATAATGTTGTGCAGCTCCATCAGTAATATAAATCAATTTTGTCACCACCTCACAGACTTCTTGTGTGCTCTATCAAAATCTTTTGCATCATGTATACCGCAGCAGTATCGTGGACAAGACTATCAGATAGAAGGACTAGACTTTGGTGGCGAATATCACTCCACTGACGATAATAATAGACCACTGGATGTACAGTGCAATGGTCATTATTATAATGAAATGATTGAGCTGCGTCCTGAGAAACGAAGGAATAATTCTCGAAGAAATCACACGGAACCAGAATCTCTCCTTCGAATAAATTCTCCTTTCTCTCTTTCACATAGGCTGTTTGCTCAGTGGCAATGAAATGATGAGATTTCAACGCTTTCAATCGTTCACATAGTAAATCAATGAATTCACTTGCTGGGAATTTCTGAGTCTGCAATATTGCTCTATCGACAGTTTGCCACATTTTGAATTCCACAGTTTCAATCATAGCCTAGTTACAAAGTAATTTTTTCAATTCAAGTGATAGCACATCAACTCCTGGATAGTTTTGGCATTCATCTAAATGGCACGCAGGCATTGAATTGGAACACATGAGCTTCGCGAAACAATCTTTGTAGTTCGTAAGAGAAAAAATTGAATCTTCTGTGAGAGTGGAAATATTCATGGCATCCAACATCAATTTGCAGGTGGTACGTACAGATGTAGACAACATGCGTACCACTCGTTCCTGGCAATACACAATGTTTCGGTCACAACTCCGCAAACTTACTGAACCCCACAGGAGATTCCGGATGAGAAGTTTCATATTGTTGATGCAGATCTGCAAAATTTTCAAGTGCCGGCTTTTTCTGCATATTTTTTCTTCTCGTCGTTGATTCTAATGGATACTTTATCTTTGATTCTTGGCATAATTCGACTGTTATTCTCGTAAAACCTGTGGACTTTCTTAATAGTTCCATCGGATAATGATTTTCCTGCTTTCACGACGGCCGAAGCCAATACTTCTCTCATTTCTCTCAATTTTTTCACTCTCTGAGCCATGTGTTTCGTGGCTCCACATTCTTCACTCACTTTCCGAGTATTACATGACAATAGAGCGACTGTCAAAATTTGTAGACGTTCAGCGTATCAATCCGTACTCTCCAATTTTTCTTTCAGGCCATTCAACATTTCTTCCAGCTCAACTTCTCGAAGAGAACGTGAATGTTCTGCTATTCTCCTGCTCACCTCATTGTCTGAATCTTCATCTACTGAGAAATCGTCGATTTCCATTGGGTCATCGAACGCTTCGTTGAGACCATTATTATTAGGATCAACTGAATGGAAAGAATTACCAGATCTCAATGAACTGTTTGTGATGTTACCGACAGAAATGTCGGCTACGAATGGTGTAAGATTTGAGGAGTACCCAGAAGTATCATCGGAGCCTCCCGTCGCTGTTCAATCAGATATCGGAGGGAAGGCTTCGATGTGTGGATGAAAATTAGGGGGTAATGGGCTAGGACTATAAGTGGCAGCTTTCTTTGTACAGTTGATACACAGTCTTGCATTCGCCGGCAATGATGGAAATTTTTTTCGTAACGATTCCGAAATTACGCGTAGACCTTTTCCAACGTGACCTCTCCATCCAGGGGCGCGCATTGGACCAGCACATCTCTCGGCATGGGACATCTTATGAAAAAAATGAGTTGATCAGTCTTATGGATAGATTAATATTAGATTAATGAAGCCATCAATATGAAATTAGTAATGAAGACCATTGAATCTATTCCGACATTCTCATAAATGGTCCATTTATCGCAGAAGGGAGTGATTTCAGAAGAACATGTAGTGACTCTATATTTAGCGCTCAACAAGTCCACAACGACTGTATGTACACATTCTTCCATGCATGTACTCGTGACTATGATAATTTATTTTCCATTGAAAAATAAAAATAAACTCCTCCTATTTTATAACTTCTCCACTGGCACATTACAGACAGATAGATTACATACCTCGATCCAAACTGACGAATAACTGAAGGAGAATATCGATTCAGTCAATTTCTAGAGGAAATTTAACACACTGAACAGAGAATGAGGGATGATGTTGCAGGAGCAAGAGTCTCAGGATAACTAATTAGATTCATACACATTGTAACCCTTGGAGGTTGTATGGAAACACGATTCCACGAAATCTGTAATTTTTCAGACCGCTTATCTCCTCCTCTCTCTTTCATCCCCCATGACAGCGAATTATATTGTGTTGATAATTCGTGAAATATCGCAATCCGATTGAAAGTGTACGACAAATACAAGGTCTTCTCCCCAGAACAATCAGACAACGTGTAATTTTCCTGGCTGCGTGTCGTATCATTTTTCATTTCTTTACGCTCATCAAGGGTGAGAGTTAACGCTGGCTGAGTCAATGATACAGTGGAAAAATTGGACATACGTGGAATTCGAACCCGACTGAACGAATTGCGAGTTCTTCGCCCTATTGACCGAGCTATTGCAGGCTGTCGATTTCTGTGACATCTTCATAATGACTTAAGAATTTATCAACATCGGTATTTAATTAATAACATTGCCAACATCATTATTAAAAATTTCTATGTAATTTTGGTGTACTTTCCCAAAATTTTTAACAAATTCAATTTCTACTGAAATTTCCAGGAATTTCTATAAACTATGAATTTCAATTGCATTTTCTCCTAAAAATGAGTGACAAATCAGAAAATTCCGGTAAATATATACATGAATTTTCAGGACATCAACACTGAATGCGATTTAGGGGGAAAAAATCATGACATTTCAGATTTCAGAAAAAATTCATTGGAATTTCAAATAAATTCAGGAATTTCCGTCTTTGTGGTGGTTAAAATTCTGGAATTTCACTGAATTTTCAGTGAAATCTGAAATTTCATTTTTTTTCTCTAACAGAGTAGCGATCTGATGAGAAAATTTATGGGTTTTGGATAGCATTCTTCCCCAAACTCAATGTTCATTATTCAAAATAATGTTAAAACAATTATGCTCCTCCTATTTTTAGGCCTGCAACGTAGTTGTATCATTGGTTATGTGGATGATTCACTATACGAATATAAGTGATGAATTGACAATGTGATTTTACTAATTATAGCCGTTAATGTCGAAAAAAAAAATTGTTTTTTGCCAAACAAAATTTTTTCTCATCTCTATATCGATATCACATTTCAAAATGTCCCGAAAAAATTGAGGATTATTATTATTTATCAAGAAAAAAGAGAATCAATTGATTTTCGACTAGCCCCTCTGTAAGAATGGAATTTGAAAAATTAAAACCTCTGAAAAAGGGTCATTACTCGTCTTCATAGTACTGGCATATTTTTTCGAATAGTACATGAAAAAACGAAAAGAATCGTTTTTTATTCATTAAAATCCGTCAATTAGTTCCCGAGATATGATTTTTCAAAAATTTGAGCCTTTGACACATGTTGTAGACAAACGATTGATGTTGAAGGAACAAAAATTTACGGAAAGCATGTACTTACGTAGTACCTGACTATGAGCATGTCAATTCAGGATTCTGAGAACCAAAAAAATTCAGAGTGGCTGAGTTGATATGGAATGTCCCTTATATATTAGATTCGTTCAACAATTCTCACGTTCTAATGAAAACTTTCAAATTTCACCGGTATCTCCCATTGACAAAAATCTTCGATATTACCACCAATGAGAGTCTCGGAACTGGATGATCCTTTGATGACTTTTGGAATTGTTAAGTGACTCCCATCTTCCTCTGAGTCTTCTTGCTTGATACTGACCCTTCTGCTACCCTTGGGTGATTGTTTTCCAGGTAATGACCCTGGTAATTGTAGTATCGGGCTTTCTTTTATTATTGGCGGCAGTTCAGAGATCAAACCCAACGGTTGTTCTTCCTCCACTGTATACAATTTCAGAAAGCATATTTTACAATGTGATTCAATATTTAGTATGAGTTTTAATGACTGAATATGTGATTATGAACGAGCCGTGCAGCGTTACCCTAACAAGAAATTTTCAATGGAAAGATCATCATTGGACATTCTAACAAATGATTTCGGACTTCCTGATCATCTTTAGAGTTTATCCAGATATGATGGACGAAATCATGAATTATATGCTTTATTATATCATTCTTAAGGAGCTCACACTTGCGATAACCAGTACGCCAATGGCTCTTTGAACTTGCCATTTGTGCACCCACGACTGAATCAAAGTGGACTTGACTTCTTACATCTCGACAATCGCTAATCTCTGACCCATATCCTAGATAATTTACAATATAATTTATATAATACCACTTTTACTGTTACCATCGGAAGTTACTTCATCAATTGAAGAGTCATTTCAACATACCAGAAATAGAACTGGCGCCACTGGTCCTTCTTGGTGAGAAACTGCTTCTTCTTCTGTCATCAACGTGTAGTAGTCCTTCCCCAATCAAATTTGCGACGCAATCCAATGATCTGAATTGGAAAATGAATATTTATCAATTAGCGTATTCTTTAAAAAAATTGAGGAATTCAGGAAGTCAATGTTTTAGTTCTCAACAAGGTTGCCAAGCATTCAAATTCCGAATGAATTTAAAATGCATACTCTGCTAGAAATTCATCGGAATTAAATAGACAACTACATGCTAACTATTACCATTCTGAATCAAGATGTCATCAAAGATTCTATTGTTCATTAATTTTCAGAGTTGTTTTGGAAACTTAGGATGAATGGGTTCACCAAATGTGTAAGTTAAAATATGGAAAGATGGCCACATTCGATTTTATCTTTCTGAGATGTCTGAATTTATGGGAAAGTAAACGTAAGGATAACCTAGACGGATTTTCCGCATTTTTATTGAGTTCCTAATGGATCTGCATATTTCGAACAGAATTCATAGAAATTCCATTTCAATCTGTAAGTTGCAATTGAAATTCTGTGAAAAATCTCAGAATTCAACATTATAACAATTCAACAATTTAGGGATCCCAAATGCAAATGAATTATTCAGTAGAAAATCAGTAGACCTTTGACGTTCTTACTTCAGAAATTGAAAAAATCATAATTTTCGATGAAATTCATCATTTCATACATTCAAATATTGAACGAAATTACTTTACACGCCCACAATGTTAGAAAAAAAAACTGCAATGTACTACTATACTGTAATAACGTCTGATTTTTCTGAAAAGATGCCATTGAAAAGTCGACACTCATTAATTTTCATCACATTTTCCAGAAAAAGGTATTTGGCGGACACATAGATAGTGGGAGTATACGAGGTATTTCACATCAAATGAGTCAATCGCTGAGCTTCTTCTCTTGAAAATGAATGGTGCTTTTTTCTACGGTCGGGGAGGTTGAAAAACTATCTCTTAAATTTTTTCAGATTTTTTCGGCAGCCCAGCTCAAAGATATGATTTTTTTCACATTTTTACGTTTTTTCCAATAACTCGAGTTCTATTTGTCCGATTTTGATTTATTAAGTGTCAAAATTTTCCATTTTTTACCGCCTATACGACTATTTTTAGTAATTTTTTTTTCGATTGCTAGATGCTGGTAATAACGAATTTTGGAAAAAAAAAGTTGAAAAACTTCAATTTTGCAAATTACGTCACGGTTGATATTCAATTTTTTTTTAGTAATTCTCATAATCAAAACAAGTATTTTGAGCTGTTATTCAAGTTGGGAATTCTCCTGGATCTATGTTATTTTTAATTTTTTCTTTTGTAAATTTCGCAAATTGGGGCAAAACACCACAAAACGATTTCGATTAGGGGAGACCGGGGCAAAGTGGAACGGTGGGGCAAAGTGGAACGCGGGGCTAAGTAGAACGGTAGCAAAAGCAAATTTAGAGCGAATTTTGGACAACTTTTTTTAAAAATTTATTAGTCGAAAAAAGATGAAGGGTCAAACGTTTCTGAGGGTCAAACAGTGGTGTATATCCCCTTAAGCCAGGGTGAAACTTCGAACCCAGGTGGAATTTGGAAGTCCTCGGTTGATAAGGATAGTCGTTGAGCGAGTCTGTATAGATTAAGGGATACCTAAAAAGTAATGAAAATTTTGGGCACAACCCATTTTGCCCCATACGTCGAAGTAGAACATAGTTTTCCAAGTATGTGGCTTCAAAATGCTCCTCGTACCATAATAGGCATTCGAGTTACAAAAAAGGTTATTACAACAATTTGGCTACTTCCTTTAGAATCTGAAATATTCCTCAAAAACTCAGGTGAAGAACTAGTCAACTTCCTATCCAAGTGCTTTGGCTATTTTTTGTTCAGTGAAATGCTTTTCCACTTTTATCGTCGAATATCAGAGCTTTCATTTTAGCTTCATTTGACCCTGAGTTTCCGGACATTTTGCAATGATATTATTATTTAAAATATGAAAGTCTGAATTTGAATCTCGATATTGAACCGTCAGAAAATAGTTTCAAAATGTGAAAAAAAATTAGAAAGTGTAATTTTGGAGAAATTCATAAAACAAATGAAGAACTGAATTTATTTAAAGTTACGAGCATTTTCCAAAAATAATTTATAAACAATCAATTTTCCACGATAAAAATCATTTGTTCGGAAAGACAACAAATTTATTCATATTCAGAATTTTACGAGAAATCGATTCCATACCTAAAAAAAGGTATCTGAACGTTTAAACAATTTCAATTAATTATTTATAAGAAGGGGATGTTTAAAAAAATGAAAATTCCCTACAAAATTATAATTTGAATGACACACATCCGTGATTTTTTTAAAATTTTTGTCACGCAATTTAATTGACAAACGTGATGATTGAAAATTGTTGAATCTATACTGTGGTCTGTATCAAACTATAAAAGATACTCAGATATCCTTAAACGGTTTTACCGCTTCGTTAATGAATTAAAAAAAAGAAAAATAGTTCCATTCTATGGAATCTAACGAACATTGAAAAGAAACAGTTCAAGTGGAATGAATGTCATGGTGCGAAAAGCATTTCAAAGCCAAACCCTCGAGACACGAGATTTTACCTCCACGTAAGGAGCAAAATGGGTGGAACCTCAAGATTTTCCTACTATTTTAAATACTTCATAATATACTAAGAGTCGCTCCAATATTCTTGACTGGAGATTCCCGTTTCATCTTGGTACCCACTCAAGAACCCAACAGTTCTTAATTTAAGACTTCTTACTCGAAATATGGTTACAAGTCGTAGTGATTTTTTTCATTTGACCCTCAACAACTGCTGGTCCTTCCAATTACTTTCCTGCTTAACCCTTAAGCGTGTTTGACCCCTCAAGAACAAAATTTGCTAACGTTCCACTTTGCCCCACCGTTCCACTTTGCCCCGGTCTCCCCTATGTATCGAAAAATTATGTAATATATAGGTATACAATCAAATTCACTTCATATTGTCTATAATCAAAGTCACTCAACGTCATTTTGAGGTGTTGCGACCAAATTTGCGAAATTTCGAAAAGAAAAAATTGAAAATAAAATAGATCCAGGATGATGCCCTACTTGTATGATGGCTCAAAAAACTTGTTTTGATGATAAGAGTTACTTAAAAAAATGAAACAAATCATCCGTGATGTAATTTGCAAAATTCAAGTTTTTCAAATTTTTATTTGAAAAGTCGTTATTATGCGCATCTACAGATCGAAAAAAAAAATTCACTAAAAATCTTCTTATAGGCAGTAAAAAATGACAAATTTTGACGCTTAATAAATCAAAATCGGATGGATAGAACTCGAGTTATTGAAAAAAACCGGAAAAACGAAAAAAAAAACCGAAAAACTGGGCTGCCGAAAAAATCTGAAAAAATTTGAGATATAGTTTTTCAACCTCCCCAATCGTAGAAAAAATCGCCATCAATTTCCAAGAGAGTGAGGGTCAGCGGTTGACTCATTTGACGTGGAATACCTCATATATATAATTCTTGTCATTAGGCCGAAACAAACCTTTCAGGCGAGTATGAAAATGACAGCCCGAGGCAAAGCCAAGGACTGCAATCACACCAATTAGAAAAAATTTTTCCTTGCTTACACCAAAAATATATTGTTCTATAAATTACATGACTAATCTTCGTACTAAATTAATTAAAAACTTACACTAGTGAACCACAGGGCATTTGTCCATCTGGTGGTTCAGCCTCATAAAAAACTTTCTTAAGTGCCTCAAGCACAGTAACACCATCGGTAAACACTCGATATGTCAGTAAAAAAGTATTCAGGAAATCAATACTGAGAAATCTCAAGTCAGTGAGTCGTTGGAGTAACTTCTCTGGTGTAGCGTATCGTATTTGGGGTAATTTGCATGAGTTCAAGGTACGACTAAATCTGATATCTACGTCATCTTTAAATAATTTAGGATCATTTCTAACTGATTGTGGCATCGGTACGGAGCTCGTGTCGGATAGTGAACTACGCAACAGGTCATTAAAGTGTACATTATCCATGCATTGACTGATATCACTGACCCAGGCTGCTTTTTCCTGCATTCAAAAGCGTCATTTGAAATAAATGCAATTAATCAATAGTGCCAATAATATTCATGGAAACTGATCTCGTTCACCTGCATCGTTGTAGCTAGAAGATGAAGGGATATTGGAGGTCCGCCAGACTTCATGTCCAATGTAATTTTGAAATCACGATTGCCAAGAGGGTTGCCACCACTTCCACTTCCACTGCTCTCACTGATTCCACTCGACATAGAGCATACAGACAATTCTATAAAATGGATGAAATTTAATTCAATGAAAGATATAGAATCGCATTCATTCCCCTCATTTAAGTTTAATTACCATCATCATCGGCAGCACTGGGATCACTGGGATCCTCGATGAGTATGGCATCAGATAGCGGAATTTTACCTATTGCAGGAACGAGATTCAGTCGACCGTCGTCGTCAGATTGTCGTGTAGTCAATATAAGATGATTGGAAAATAGGAAACACTGTCTGAGTACTTCCTTATCACCACTAGCTTTACTGCCAAAAGTTGCACTTAGTCTACCACGTACACCTCGTGGCTTATCTACAATTTGTATTAGGGTTCCTGTTGAAAAAAAAAATTACATATTTACACTATATGATTACATTGGCAGGTGGGAAACTTCGTTGATTGAATCTACTTATTGCATCTATTTATAGTTGATCGAGTGGTAACAACAATGTATGGGTCAGACGCCCACTTGAATGATGAAAATTAGAGTCCGGTAACGTTCCATTATTCAACTATCTAATACTTATAACTGAATCAACCATTCAAACCGTGAATTATCCTAATTATCTGGCTGATAATCAGCACTATTTTAAATTATTTGCTATAGGTTGAAAAACCTACCGACATACTGACGTTTTATTTCCTCGAGTAATTTTAGCGTTGGTCCCTGACACTTGTTCACACTGAAACCTACTTTCAGTTTCACTCTGGTCCCCAGTGATTAACAGAAAAAAATTATGCAAAAAGTTTTGCCTGTCGTCATTCGTATATCAAACGTAACTATGCAGATAGTTATGTCAATTACACAATGTTCACATAAATAACGAGACTCGTCTGTGTTATACGCACTCCGCTGTTATATCAAAATGGCAACTATGCAAAGGCGCGAATGAATGATTCGTGATAAAAACTTATATGTAATTTATAAAACATCAATATGTTTATGTGTTTTCCGATAATTTTCAAATAGATTGATCCATTATTTTTACTGATTTGATTGTTCAACCTAATTTTAATCATTCCTTTTTAATTTTACTCTTAGATTTTCATATCTCAGTACACGTTGGAAAATCTAGTACACGTTACTGCCGGAAAAAATAAAGAAGTGTTTGCTTAGCAACCATGTGGTGGCATATTAGCACGCGGGATCAGGTGCGTAGTTCTAGTCATTGGAAACAGAATTTTGGCGAGGTTGGTGAAGGCCGTTTAACGTCGAGTTGTTGGGAGAGTCTAATATCTGGTGAAAACTTAATCACTTATAATATATTTGGACTGATATTTTCAGACTAGGATAATTTATTGGAGCGATATCGAGATTACTTAAATTTCGGGTGATAGGGGAAACGTCCCCTGTATTGTCAGCCCTGGTGGGACTTGCGCAGGAACAACAGGATAAATAGATACAGAGTGCATCGATTTGGGGGAGTCAATGTGAAGGCGCGTGCGTTGGGAGGGAGAACTTTGCATCTATATCACTGAAGTGGCATCGATGGAAGGGTTTCATTATATTCAAGTTTCTTGCGTCGAGACAACAGCTGGAAGATTATCCATCATTCGGTAATCGATGTAAAGCTTACCTTGTCTCACGAAAACTTGATTGACATCTAGAAGAATGTCACAGCCCTCCACGATCATTCTCTCGACTGCCAAATTTTTGCGTAAATTTTCCGTTTCACTGACCTGGAAAATTATGATGATATGATTATGGTCGTCCCTAACAGCTACGTCTCTATTGAAAACTATTTTCGTTAATCTTATTTCCATATTTCAGCTTTTCTGATAGCTGATGCGAACTTATTAGAACGAAGGATTTGTCATTTACTTCATCATGTATCTGCCTTGATAAATCTTCCAACTGCTGACGGGCGTTTTGCAAACTCTTTCTTTCTACATGGTCATGAGGTGTATGGGCCAATACTTCATGAAGTGTTATTATGTACCGTGGTACCTAAGAACAAACGGAAAAATTTTAGACTATCTATTTTGAAAGAAGAAAAATTGCCTCTGAATTTGGAATAAGGGGCTATTCACATTGATAATCATGGTGTCACTCGTTGTCACAATTAAATTTCAGTCACAGTGAAATCCATTAAATTATTGTAATCACTGAAATCACATGATTAATCGGTTTTTGTAATGAAGGTCAAACCATTTGAAATCGTTTCAATTATGCGCAGAAATTGTAGTTGCTTAAAGTCGAAATTCTAGTCAATTGTGCCATAACTTTACGGAAAACACCCTAAGATTAAGGGGTCTAGTTTAGGTGTTAAATGCAAAGGTGAATTGAAGCGTCCAATCGTACTCTGTCGGCTGATGGACATGAGTGAAATATAAATGTCAAACGAGGGATGACTAAACGAAAAGGGTTCAACCATTAAAATCAAATTTAAGAGTTGTGTATTTATTTTATCATTTAAATCATTACCAAGATTTGGTGTTCGATACCTGTAATCAATGAATTTATTCATCATCATGTAATCACTTTTCTTTGGTAGTGCTAATGATTGTAATCTCTAATCACTATAAGAGCCGCAATTATGTGTAATCGACTACATTTCATAATTATGTACTTAGGAAATAAATTCATTGGAACACCTACCAAAGTCGATAGAAAATTCTATTCGCTTTCTATTCAACTTGTATTCAGAATTCGCTCATTTTTTGATCGATGCTATTGGAGATTTCCGCAGCTTTACTAGCTGTTGTGTTTAGTAGAAAATTACTGGTGAAAATTATTTTTTTGAAAAAATTCGTAAAATTTCATCTTTGAATCCGAATTTTTCTACTAAGACATTTCAACAAGGACTCTTCGACATGAATTTTTCTTGTTTTTTTTAAACATAACTTCCTTTCTTTCTTAACCTAATGAACCAAACAAAAAAAATTAGCAAATTTGACCCGAGGAATTTCTATAGAAAATATCTTTTTAAAGTGAGTTGTACAGGAATTTTCTATGATTTTCTTTCTTACCTGTTGTATCACTTCAGCACACAAAAATTTGGTAGAAAGACCTCGTGAATTCGTTAGAAAATTCTATTGGATTTGTATTGAGCTTTCTATTATTTCTTGGCCGAGTCTATTGAAATGTTTGATAGAAAAAGTCAATAGAATTTACTTTTTCTGTATAACTTATTCTCTTCTCTTAATAATATTGTAAAAATGGACAATAACTCTAAGGAATATTCACAGTCTTCTTTAAAAAATATTCTCCAAAAGACCAAAGAATTATCTGATAATTTAATTCAAAATGCTTAATAGCGGTGAGGTGAGGTTGTTGGTTGTCACAATGAACTGAAAATCTAAACTCTCAAGAAGATTTTAATTAACAATCGAATTTAATCCGAGAAAATATTAAACTCCAACTCAAGAGTCTCTGATGCCTCGTTTCGCTGAAGCTAATAGGGAGGTTGCATGTTGTGACATTGTCTGGTATTTCTAAAATATCAGACAACAAGTGACAATCGACGTAAATTCTTTAATCTCTCGCAAATTCAAAATATATTTATTCCAGTTATTGCAGAAAACCCGAGATGATCCTCAATAATCAAGGAAATAACTCGTGAACAATACTTTCCTGAGAAATCTTCACCCTTCAGATGCACGCAGTGCAGTGTACACAGTTACCTATTTGTTGTCCGGTGCGCCCGTGCTCGATTCAACTTAATTACTGTATTTTGGGAAGAGGATATTATTCAGTAAAGAGAAGGATCATTGACTAACTGATAGGTCTATAGTCTCGAGACTTGATATAAAATGATTTTAGAAGATAAAAACAAAGGAATTCCATAAATGAAGGTCGTCACCCAGAATAATAACAATAGAAATGAAATAATGCTATCGTTCAATAAGACAAATACAGAAAAGAAGAATAATCAAAAATCATAATAATAATAACACAAAATGCTGGAAACTCCGGTCCACCCAACTCGACACAATTCAGAAGAATTATGATTCAAAGATATTTGTTGAATTGCTATCCGGAGAAACACTAAAGAGGCTCAGTTGTTCATTTATTAATTCCTTAAGGGTAAATGTACAGTGAGCAGGTCCGTAGACACTGCCTGGCCTTCCCCAACGCCTGTTATCCGCAATACTAGCCACGACAGATTTCTATTTCACTCGAGCCGTCGGAGAACGATCAGACAAAAAAAAAGATGAAGAATACAATACAAAATCCGAATGATAAATAAGTAGAATAATCCCTATTCAATGCCAATTAATTTGTCCCAATATTATCTGTAGCTCAGACGCTCGTTACAATAAATTATTGTATTTCGTTCCGGTAAGCACCGACTCGACGGCCACGCGGTTTTATTAAGATGAAGTCGATAGTCTCCGTTCGAAATGAGATTCTTCCTGCTAGAGAAGCTAACAGTTGCTTCAATGAGCCCCAAAATGCTCTCGTACTCACTAATGACCCCGTCGCACCAATGACAATATTTTATATGCGCACACTCACTCTAATTACTCGTCCTGAACTAATATTATGCCTCGACTCTGTCCCTGGTCACGTGTTCGCTTGATGAATAGAATAACTAAAAAAATTAAAAAAAATGTTTTTGTAAAAAAACATCGCCAAGAAAAAGTTTGGGTTGGTTCTTACTGGGAAGTAGAAATTTTTGAAAAATACAAAGAAATGAAAAAGAACGCCAAGTCAGCAGTATCGAATGAATAAACATAGTGTCCAATCAGATTTCTATGAGAAACATAGTTTCAAATCGAATAAGGATTAAGGAACTTCCGCAGTAAGTTCTGGGGCTATGGAGTGGGGGAAAATATCAAAGGTTCCGACACTCCGCTGCAACATTAGAAAAAAAAATAATGAAATGACGAATGCTTCATGGGTGTCATGAAATCTCGTCGAGAGGGTTCCTGTGCATGTACAACTCATAATCAATTAATCTCCAATCGTTTTTATTCCGAAATATAATTTATATCAATTTTCTAACAAATAAAAATTATCACGCGTGGTTTGACAACCGCGCATTTCTGTTCGACGCAGTTGGTATTCTTGTGTCCCGATAAAACTCCATAGTGTACTCTATAGTATATGCTTCGACGGTGTGAACTGAAGTAAACAACACGTTATTTTAGAGAGGTTAACCTGTTCGTGTGTTTCGGATAAAGTTGACAAATAAATAAATATACAACGACATGGAAAATTCAGAGGATTCGTCAAGAACGCGGCACAAAGGAAAATTCATCAAAAAGGAATCACGAGACCGGAAAATCGCAGCTGAAAAATTGGGAAAAGCCAACCAAGGGAGAACAGTGGGCGAACCGGAGGTGGAGACAAGTGATGACAATCCACCAGTAATTGTTGGAAATCGAATTGTCGACTTGACATTGTTGGCTAATGAGCTTGAATGTCCCAAGTGTAAAAATCCCTTATCGTTGAAGAACATGGAAAAAGAAATCAAACGTGGTTTGGGTTCACATTTAAACATCAGTTGTGTACACTGTCTGTTTTTGAAGCCTGTGCCTACTAGTCAGTGCGTGGACGATGAAGAGGGTTCCAACCGAAAATAAAGGAAAAATCATCAAATGAATGTTTTATAGCGTGAATAACCTACAAGATTATTTTCAAGAGTTTGACTGCCCCGCTCACGCGATGGCCACCGCCCCCCGCCGCCGCGCGCACTCTAACCTTCCGCAACGCTGCCATGTTCTACCATCAGTTTTCTCCAACCCACCCGAAATTTCAGATTCTATCATACATTTTTGATAATTACGAATAATCCGTGTGGTTACGGATAATTAAATTGTGAGGATGTTTCTGAAATATGTGCGGTTCTATTTGTGAAACAATTGGATTTTACTACAATTGTCGATTATTTTTTTGTGATTTTTGAAAAAGCGGTGGCATAAGGCTCTGTGTTAATGACACATCTTTCATATTTTTTTCCTAACAATCTACGTGGTTCAGCATTTTGGGACTTCGGGAGCATATTTGTGAATACTGAAAGAATGTATCCTCAAAATTTCAACTCTATATACCATTTCCTTCTACTCCCATATACTTGCTGCGGAAGTTCCTTAAAACAAAATTCTTCATGAAATAAAAAAATTGTAGAAGGAGGACCGACGTCCTTGGCGGGGATCAAAAAGATCGCAGATTAGATTGATACTAGACAGTGAGTTGAAAAACTCCACGCCAAAAACGTTGGTTCTCCTTCTAGTAATTTGGAATTTCATGAAGAATTTTTTTAAAATCCTTCTTCGATTTGAAACTAATTTTCTCATAAAAATCTGATTGTGCTCTATATTCGTTCATTCGACATTGCTGACTTGGCTTTCTTTTTCATTTCTTCATATTTTTCAAAAATTTCTACTTCCATTTAAGAACCAACCCAAACTTTTTCTTGGCCCTGTTTTTTTTTTACAAAAACATTTGTTTTTGTATTTTTAGTGAGATTTCATTATTTTTTTTCCAAATAAGCAAGGAATCGTTATTATATCCTATAAATTTTTTCATTTCCAATTTAATTTTACTCATTTATTTTTCACATGATAGATCATCTGCCCAATTAACAATCGAAGCAAAACAAATAATTGTACTTCACAGTCATCATTTCCACCGACTTTTAATTACTTATTCCAGATTTTCCGACTTAATGTGCTTCTTCCAGAATTTATTTATGCACGGAACTCAATTGAAAAATATCTGTGGAATTTGTCGTTCATGCACCAAATTCAATTTGTAATTTCTTGGGCACCCCCCTTGGTGTGTGTGGCCCTATTGCAGTACTACCAAGTCCGTAACAAAAAAATGATAGGAGATAATGTGAAATACGAGAATGTGCATGTGAAACCCGTTGCTATGTGCGTAATTTTTTAAATATTGATTGCCATAAAAAAATTGTTACATCAATGAGAAGCTTGTAGCTTATCACATTTGTATTTTATTTAATGGACTAGGGGGCTTCCCCCCCTGCTCGCTCCGCTCGC